CGTTGATAAAGGACTTGGTGCCAAAGTCAAACTGAACGCAGAAGTCGCCAGGGCCATCGAACTGGCGCGGCACTGGCCAACGCCAAACACCGCATGACAGGCGAACCCCCGCGCAGGGGTCGCCACCGGGCTGCCCAGGCGCGTCGGCCTCGCCGTCCATGACAGGGCGGCCGCCTGGCCGCGCCTCCACGCGCCGCTGACGCCGCCGTCGAGCCGTCGCAAAGGACCGCCCAGCACGCCAGCGCGAGAGGAGAAGCAGCGAGGCCGCAGTGCGAACGGAGCGCGTCCACGCTCAATCAACGTCGCCAGGCGCGCGCCCGACCTTCCCGACCAGGAAGGGGTGCCGACGCCTGCCCAGCAGGGGGGGGACGACCTCGCCATGTCAGGTGACACAACAAAACCCGAGGCGCTGACGCTCCCCTGGGCCCCCGGGGGGGGATTCATGAGCCATTAGATTACAACGAAGATTCATGTTAAGAGTGGCTGTCAAATCCATGGGGCCAGGTCATCTTCGACCAGGCCGACGCCCGCTTCCGTGACCCACCAGCAGACTGGCAGAGGTTGTCCGACGCGGTAAAACCCCCGACAATACAATCCCCAGCGCAGCGACGATCTAAGCCGCAATGGCCCTCCATGGCCAGCAGCTTGTGCTCGGCATAGCAGCGGTCCGAGGCGAGCAAACAAGCCTCGGCATTGATCTGCGCTCCCTCATGGCCCAGACGGCGCCGCTTTTCGCGCAGGCGCAAGCCCGGGCAGCGTCGCCGAGCCCCTGCGCGCCCACCCGCGCGCCGAGGCAGCAGGGGCGACAGAGAGCCGACGCCGCCGAGGGGGCGCCCGGGCACGGCGGGAACCGGCGCGAGCTCAACCCCAGGGCCATGCCCCTGTACCGCGCGCGCCCCGAACCGCCGCCAGGCTCATGTTGGGGGGGCCTCGATGGGCCGCCCTTATCCCGCCGAGGCAACCGCAACCGATGGGAGTGCTGCTTGCATCTGCGTGCTTCTGCAGGGGCAGGATAGACGGGCGGGGTGGCCGTGGCCCGGTTTCTGTCGCGCGTGCGTTGGGGGGGCGCTAGTCACCCTAGCTCGATCGGGCTCGCGGGGCTTCAGCCAGGGTGAAAGAAGGCCTCCGCTCCGTTTTGTCAAAAACGCTCTTGCCGCCCAGTGCGCGCCCGCGGCGGCGCCGCCTGGGCCGCCGCCGCCGCGCGCCCCAGCCCCGTGAGAGCGACCGCGCGCGCATTTTCATGCAGAGCATCATTAGATACTTGAGTGGCCATGGGCCACCTGTCCTGAGGCCTGACCACGTCGCGATTGGGCACTTCCACGGAGCGACCGCCGACGCCATCGGCGGCCTTCCGGCGACGCCACCGGCGACGCGGACCATTGCGCTTCCGCTGCGATTTCTCCTACAACGACGCGGACCATCACGCCGTCTGCGATCGGCGACGAGGACGACAGCCCATCGGGGCTGCCAAGGGCAACGGATTTTGCACGCGGCCGCAGCGGCCCGCCAGGGCGCCATTCCCACCCGCCAGCCCTCAGCAGCAGCACTGCGCGCGCATCGGCGACGGGGGCCTCCTCCGCCAGCTCGCGCGGCCAGAGCGACGAAGCACGCGCGCCCTCGGCGCCCCCTGGCAAGCCATGCACGCATCGGGCCAACCTGAGCCCAGCACACGAACGGGCACGCGATGCGGGCGCGCCAGGGCGGATTGGCACCAGTTCATTTGGCCCAGGCCCAGCGAACCAACGCGGCGTCGGTGGCTGCCGGGGCCGCGGCGACCGACCCCGCCAATGACCCTGGCAGCGGCCAACCATTTCCAGACCGTTCTTCGCCCGTTCATGCGAGGCCATCCGCCCAAGAGGGCGATCTCGGGTCTCATCAGGCCACGCGCGACTTCATTGTTTTAGGTCGCGCCGTGCAACTCGCCGCCGCCCCATCGCGCAGCGCGAGGGCCTCCTCGGGCTGCGCGGGCAGGCGCGACAGGGCGCAAGTCTCGACGCCAAAGCCGAGGCGGCCCGCGACCGCGCGCAGACGTCCCGAAGAAGCGACCCCGCAGGCGGAGCATGGCAAACCATCGCGCAACTGGGATGGAGCTGGCCAGCCTACGGCGCGATGCGCGACGACTGGGGCGCGCACTTTTCATGGCTGAGTCTCCAAACGGAAGCATCGCGCGCTCGCTTCGACCCTCGCAGAGGCGCGCCTACCCCCGTCGAAGCCCTGCCAGACACGACCGGGGCGCTGTGGCGGCTGTCAACAAACGCTTCGACTGCGTCGCCAATTCTTGACTCCAGAGAACCAGGGGCGATGCTCATTGCGCTGCGTGGCAACTCGGTCTCCTGCGCAAGTACCTCTGCGGAGGTGACCTGGCGCAGTAGAGAATAGCGAGGGCTCGCATCTCGGCCAACCCGCCCCCGCTGCGCCAGCGGCGCAATCGTGGGTGGGAGACGCAGGAGCACGCCGTTTGGAGTTTTCCACGCTGGGCAATCGAACGAAAGGCCGCGGCCACCACAATTTCGGAAGAACAGTGGAGAGACATTCCGCCGCGCGCCCGACACTGCGGGCCCCTCGACGAACATGCTACGCGCTTCGACCTGCAGGCTGACCTCTCCGAGACGAAGTCCCACAGCCCACCCCCAGAGCGACGCCGGACGGTCGGGATGAAAACCGCTTTAAGGGTGCGCCTACCGACGGAGGGTGCTCGCACCCAGCCTATCACCCTGTCGCAAGGTTTGAGTTCGGCGCGCATTGCAGACCAGAGAACCTGCTACAACCCATCGTGCGCCTCTCGCCAATCGCCGAAGCCTTCAACCGTCGCGTAGACGAGCTGGCTACTGTGGGAGCCCGCGCGCGCGATACCACGGGACGTCGTCGACGCGGCAAGTGGGGGCGCAACTTCTCGGCTGCCCCGCCCATCATTACGGTCGCCACGCGCGATCCCCGCCGCTGCGCCCCCCGACGCGCGAGCTGGGCGCTCCAGGTCTGAGTTCCGTCGGATGAAGTCTAGACCGCTCGCCGCGGGGGGCGGTGCCCGTCGACCCCCCCGATCTCAAGGCCCACCAGGGCCGGGGAAGTACGACGCACCCGACGACATCCCTCCTGATGACCTTCAAGGAGACGAGGCGGGCGCACTCAGCCTGGGTGGATGGGCCTCGACAGCGACGATGCCCCCCCCGCGCCAGGCTGCCGCGACAGCGATGCCCGCGACGCGGACGACGCCAGTCCACTCCCACGTCCAAGCAGGCAATCGACGGCAAGGACCCACGAGGTGGAGGCCCACCAGGACCCCGCCGCAGGCAGTCCACGGCGACCTATGCATCACACCGCTGGCATCGACCACGCGGGAGGCAGTGCGCACCTCCCCGCCCCCCCCGACGCAGCCACACCCCAGGCCACATTTGCGCCAGCACTGACATTCACTTGGGAGAGGATTTGCGGTTGTTTGGCGAGGGGCCGCGGACTGCGCCGATGTGCCAGCGCCGCCTCCCTAACCCGCCCGGCTGGCCAGCGCTGCGGCGCGCTTAGGCGGCCCCCAACGCAGCGCGTCCTGCCACCGGGCATATCCCCCGACCCACCAGGGAACGGGAACCAAAAGCCCGCGTAACACCCACCACGGTGGAGGCACCCGTCCGACCCTTGCGCAGCGCACCGACCGGAGGAGCGGCCTCACCCAGCGCTTCGCCCTGGCCAGGCCGCAGCCACCATAGGACCTCGGAGCCGCGCTCGCCGCCAGTACCACGGCGTTTCAGCAACGTGCGCCTCCAGCCTCGCACTTACGCCGAATAGCATCCGGGCACGCCCCCCCTCCCTCCATTTCGACAGGTTCTATAGAGCACAGTCCGCATGGCACGATCTACGCCAGGCCTCCCGCGCGCCAGCCCCCCCTGGAGCCAATTTCCTGGAGCGCCTCTAGGCGCGACTTGCTGCTCCCCGCTCGCGCGCCAGTGCTAGGCACACCCTTTTCGAATCACCGCCTCTGCCCTGCGGGAGCTCTTGGCGACCGGCTCCGCTGCCCGGGCGCTGGGCCGCTGCGGGAAGCGCCCCAAGGTGGCGCTCTCACGCCGCATGGCCTCGAGGCGCGCGTGCCCGAACGTGCTAACAGCCGGGGCCTCTTCTCGTGCTCGGGAACGCAGACCCGCGCCCTCGTCGTGACAGCCTGCCCGGCGCATGCCGCACCGTGCTAACAGTCGTTTTTGTTTTCTTTCTCATGTTCGGGACTGCAGACCCGCGCCCTCGTCGCCACAACCCGCCCGCGTCTCCAGCTGGGGCCCCCTTTTTCTTAAGTCGGGCCTGTCACTGCAGGGGAATATCCAAAAATAGTCAACAAATAGTCTGGGCACGATTCGGGGCATATTTTTGTCAATTTTGGAATTTCTGTTTGGTATTCTTGATTTGTCGTCCAGAATCCCCCTGTAGGGGGACGCGCCCGACCTAAGATTTTTCAACCGCGCCAGCAGGGGAGGTTTTCGCCACCCCTGCCATGTGCAAGCGGTGCCTCCCGCCCGTGCGGCGCGGGCAGGAGGCGCTGGTAACCCTCCGCCCGCTGACGCACCCTGCGTCAGAATCGTCGTTCTCTCGCACTCTCCCTTCCGTTATTTTTCTCACTTTTGTTTGTTCCCTCCCATTCTCTCTCACTCTCTCTCTCTCTCTTTCCTCGCGGTCTCTCTCTCTCTCTCTCTCTCTCTCTCCCTCTCTCTATATATATAGAGATATCTCTCTTGTCCTCCCTCCCTCCATCTCTTTTCTCTCTCTCTCTCTCTCTCTTTCTCCCTCCCTCCCCTCTCTTCTTCTCTCGTCCTCGCTCTTCACCTCTCTATAGTTTTCTAGTCTTTTATTGTTCTATCTCTCTCTCTCTCCCTCCCTCCCTCCCTCCCTCCCTCCCTCCCCCCCCCTTTCCTTCTCTCCCCCCCCCATATCCCCGGCCATTGCCTTTCCCGCCCTCTGGCCTGGGCCATGTGTCGACTTTCTCCCGCGCCTCGTTCCCTCTGTGTCTCCGCCCCTGTCAG